CTGAGGGCGCCCCCAATACAACTCATCAATGTAAAATACGGTTCCTTTAGTAGGGCGGGGGCTATAGAGAGAATATATATGTCTGCTGAACCACGTCAAAAAGCTGGGTGGACCTCGAAATTGCCGACTCGTCTTTGGGCTGTTTAGTTCAAGCTTCAAATCATTGTATCATGTAGTATCCTGCATCATCGCTACACATGCTCTTGCGGGGGCCTGCTTCATACAGAGAGCGGAACATCATGTAGGGTGAGTCTCTCAGCACTTGGCCAACTAAAATCTTTAGGTATCACCCAGAGGTTATGAGCACCTAACCTGAGCTATTGGGGATGGCATGGGAGGTCTACCCGGGCCGAATTTATCCTAGAGTGCGAGCACTTCCTCTCATGCAGTCCTGTCTAACTCATGAAGCAGGTTGTAGGAACAGGCCTTTGCCTGTGGGGCGCTTCCCTGTGAAACAACCAAAACATCGACTTTTTTCCATATCAAGATTCAAAGAATGATAACAAAATCGCAAGCCCAACAAGCATTGAACGCCAAACGCTCCAGACTCTAAACTCCAAAGAAACGAGCTCTAAAATTACAACTCTTATAATAGTTTCCATTTTATTTTCAATTATCCCAATATATAACCCATTATAGTAGTTTCCATTTTTAGCTGTAGCCTTTGTAGAAACGGGTCCAGGGCAGACCCCGCATGTCCTGAAACGCCAGCCTTTGGCGCACGCGGGCTCCCTCAGCTCAGTCTTGCTGAAATCCGGAAGCAAGGAAGGGGAAAAATGGAAACAACCCTTGTAATTCTTGGGGGCTATACTGGTGATTCTAGGGGGGCTACTATGGGAAGTGCAGTTATCTGTAAAGCCCGATTACCCAACATAGCTACTTGAGCTTAAGGCAGAAACTTGGGGCAAGCTGGTTACAATTGTCCCCTAGACCCTAAACCCTGAAACCCCTAAACCCTAAAAACCCTACACCCTAAAACCCGTAAACCCTAAAAACCCTGAAACCCCTAAACTTTTAAACCCTAAGAACCCTAAAACCCCTAACCCCTGAAAACCCTAAACCCTCAAACCACTAAAAGCCCTCCCTAAAACCCCTAAACCCTACAAACCCTGAAACCCCTAAACCAGAAAAAACAAACACTAAATAACCCTGAAACCCCTAAACCCTAAAACCCTAGACCCCCTAGTTGTCGGCGTCTGGCCTTCGAGGTAGGGATCCAGTTTAATCCCAGCCCTCTAGGTATAGTCCCCCTTAAGTAGATAGAATATGGCTTTGGGCTTTGGGTATATCATAATAAGATCTCCATATACCCCATATTCTATCTACTTAAGGGGGACTATACTTGTAAGTGGTCACCAAGGCCTTCCTCGGGCTTGATAAGGCTGAAGCACACTCTAGGCGGGGTTGTCCTCTAAATATATACTCTGTATCTACATAGGCCCTTTGGGGATTGGGGTTGTGACACCCGCAGAGTGCCAGGAGCACCAAGCCTGATTCGACTTGCGTGCGCCTTGCACGACCTTCCCTGAAAACCGGTTAGAGTAGAAGCTGATAATTTGAATGGAGACATTGGGTTCTCGCGCGCCACAAGAAGTCGTTTACTTTCAGGAAACCTCTAGCTAAACCCTGAACCTTTTGAGGTTGGGACGCTCACGGGCTGTGGCCTCAGAATGCGCAGCACTCGCCCAGGAAAGTGCAAGATCGCCACAAGAATCGCCCTTTGGCATGTTCTACTCCGGGAAAAAAAAGCAAACACTGAGATTTCAAAGGGCACTGTGGAGCCATTGTAGGAAATGCTCCCATGCTTCAAAACGACAACATGTGTTCCATTGCAGGTCAAGCGTGTGAGACACGCCGCGGTCAAAAACTTATAGCGCACAGCAGCAAGGAGTGGAAGAACATGTTACAATCCTTTGATGTTAAGACATGTCTAAGCCTGGAGCTGCTTCCGCAAGTACCCAAGACATGACCAGTGCACATGCTCCAGCATGGTTCCACATGGTTGCCCTACACGCCGGGCCGATATCCAAAACATTCCAGAACAAGCCAACAAGGTCTGCGAGAAATCATCTGGCGACCCTTCGTGCCCGGATCGCTGAGTGCTCAGCCGGTGTGCGGAATAATTGCCTTGATGTTTTTGCGCACGCTCTCTTTCCACTTCATGCAAACTGGCATCTCGCAAGCTTCTTTGAATGCAGCGGGCTTGGCTCCCTGCGCGGCGCCATCGTAGTCGCCAGACGTAGTCTGGCCACCACGTGAGGGCACTGAGTTCTTGAAGGTGTTAGGTACGGATTGGAGATGCAAAGTGCCAAGGCTCAGAGGCTTTCTCACACGTTTTCATCTTCTGCGCTCGGCGGTCCCTGTACACGTCGGTGGCGAGCGTGAGCATCTTGTTCTCTCTAGCAGATGTTCGTCCGCTCTGTACATGGCATCTTAGAGAAACATCCTCGATTGGGATCTAAGGAGATCGTGGTAAGACACCACTGGATTCATCCAGGCTCCAATCAAGAAATGCGTAAGGGCCAGGACAGCTCATTGGCCAGCTGCTCTGCACCAGCATCGCAGTCGCCGTCGAAGTGCACGTCGCGGTAGTTTTCAGGGTTCCCCTTTGCTCCCCTCCATGGGCCCACAGCTTCGCGATTTATCAACAGTCTTGGTGTCAGAGCCGGCACCCTTGCCACCAGCCCTGCGACCGGGTAGACGCCTAACTTGAGCACATCTCTTTGCGTGAAAACAATCGTAAGTCGGGCTTGCAGTCTAAGCCTAAACGCAATGAGTAGAATTATCTGCGCGCTTGGACCAGTGGTACATAGCATAAACCAAACTAATTGTGTTTGACCGTACTCATGTAGGCAGATGTAGCAAAGGTTGCTGCCAGAAATGTTCGAGCTGCTGCATACAGGCCTCTCCGATTTTTCATATATTGCGTTCGAATGCGCATTCATCAGCTTTGAACAATTACCATGGACATGCATACGGCTAGATGCTCAGGACAGCAAGTGTGTCACAACGATACTAATCCTATTCGCACGAATGGAGCTGCTAACAGGAGCACATATCGCTCTAAAACATGCTCGACCGTCAGCCTTCAGAAAGGTAATGATAACTACTCTGTGGGAAGCAGCGAGCAAGCCTCCCGCTGTTTATACGCCTTTAGCTTCCTTTGCAAACTCCTAGACAAGCTTTCCAAGCATACTCGAAGATACTCAACGCAGTGCCAATAACCAGCAGAAGATCGCAGGATGCTAGGTCCTCGCCAGAGTGGCGGTGGAACTCTGCCGGCAGCGGCTCTCCAAAGAAGACCTCAAAGGGATTGAGGAATCCAGGCATCAGGATGATTAGGGGTTAGGGCTTAAAGGGGTTATAGGGGTTAATAGGGTTTGTATATGGGTTGTATAGGGAATTGTCAGGGTGCATAGGGTTTATGCACTAAATAAAAATGAGAACAAATTACACGGTAGGAAGCAAGCAAGAGCCCCTCTTACTACGCTGCACCAATCCTAGTAGAAGCCTGGCTGCTTGGAGGCTACAGGTTTGATGAGAAGGAGGAGATCCATGGGCATTTAAAGGCCTTCTGGCAAGCCTATGGTGCCTGGTCTGGGAACTTGTATTTCCCCGCAACATAGAACCTCCCCCAACCCTAAATCCAGAAAGCCTTATGTCATCCCAGAAGCAGCAATGGGCCAGGTGGCTTTATCAGGTCTTATCCAGACCCCCAAAGCAATCTAAAATCTTGTCCATCAAGTTTCATAAAGCTAGAAATCTGCGAAACCTGAATCCCAAACAAAACCCAACCAATTGATTGCGTCGAGAGCTGTCCCTAAACCCTAGGCCCTAGACGCTGAATCCTAAACCCAAAGCCCGAGTCCAGATGCAATGTCCGGTCTTATCAGCGAACCGCAGGGACAACGAGGAGCTGCCTGAATGGGCCCCATACTGTAAACGTATGGGGATTTCTCAAAAATTTGGGGTACCATGCTGGTGGTCCCTATAATAAGGATCACAGTATTTAGGGCTGTACATGGGGTACGTTAAACATGTACATATGAGATGTATAGACGATATAAACCCCTTACCCACGGTGATATGGGAATTATACAGGGATCCCATGGTAGGGGATATTGAGGGAGATACTAGGAGTTTAGACTGTAGCTCCATGCCTAAAAATATCTAACGAAGCCACTGTGCGAACATATCAAAACACATATGCACGTACGTATACAGATATGTGCAGCGCACTTATGACTCTCAAATGCATCTGTGTCCAAAACTATTTGCAGACCGTCTTTTCAAGCGCTCCCTGGACCCGCCTGTCCCTGAAGCACTTGATTAGCCACGGCTGTTGCAGTCAAGCCCTGCACGGCATGCTGCGGATTTGTGGCGCAGACGACGCGTGTAGTGGTACCGTGGCACTCGATTACCCGGCCCGCTGACACCTGAAGTGGCTGCAGTGGGTCCACAACAAAGCTGGCACACCAAAAGGCAACCACGCCACCCTCGCTTGAAGCACCTGCATACAATCCTAATAAACCCAGGAGTGCCACACTCACCTGAGTAATGTTGTCGGTGTTGAACGAAGTAAAATAACTTTCTTCGTCTAAGGACCCAAATCACCAGATGAATACGAGCTTAGTCTATCTTCAAGACCAAAGCACCCCAGCTTAAAACACTGCTAGCCTGCAGTTCCCCGGTCCGGAGACCAAGTTATCTCAGCAAGTCACTCCAGCTGCATGCTCCAGCCCGTCTATATTCTGGGTGTAGACTCGCAGGAGAAGGCCTTCCTGCCTTGGAAGTCATCACAGAACCCTTATTAAGGGTCAAGGGCCAAGAGCATGGGATTTAGGAGCTTCAAAATCTTCAATTTCATGGCTGGGCTTTGGACCCAAGCGCTTGTTGAAAAAATATGCCAACCAATTCCACCACCCCCATCCAGTCCCTCTGTGGAGTCACTTTTATAAATGCTGGCCGAGCTTCTCCATGCGAGCCAGAAGCGCATGCACCTGCATTTGCTGAGAGACTGGGGAGTCTGCAAAACATCAGGGCTCGCTTGGCGAGTGTTCGTCCGTCTGTGATGAAATCAAATACTCAGGTGGATAAGGTGCACATGAAGTCAGCATCCAAGTTCCACCTCCTTTTTTCCAGCAAAGACGGAATCAAGGATGGGTGGAGTGCCATGACTATCTGGCGAACGCATGGATCGTGGGGGAGTACTGCTTGGAGGGCCAGGTGGACAGAACAAGCACAGTTTGAAATGCCGTCAGCCATGTCATGGCGACAGCCATCCCCATTATCAACCTACTTACCAAGTCCTGAGCCCCCCTGAGCCTCCAGTTGCCTTTCTGCAAGAAGATGCCTGGAAGCCCAAACCAATCATAACCGAACCTCACGGAAGTATAACGATACATAGGGACTCATGATTTATAGCTACCGTACAGTGTTTATGGCCCCAAGAGGGCGAGGACGCCTGCCCAAGAAATGAAGTAAAAAAACACATAGCGCAACAACAGGTGTGCCTGTCAAAGGAATAATACGGCGGCCCGAACTGCAAGAATACTCCCTGCGAGCATGTTCAAGGTGATGTGCCTGACACTAAAGTACACAAGGATTTTGAGTCTGAGTGTGTCTCAATTACTCAAAACTCGTCTGAGTTGTGCAATTGTTGCCAAAATGTTCGTGGAAACCTTCTAAAAGCCTTCCCTCACCTGAACCAGCCCTCTGTCTTCACCGAATGGGGTCTCCAAAAATAGCATCAAAGTAGGAAACGGGCCCATAAAGTTGTGCGCCGTGCATTGTGCCCTCCACGTACTCAAGTTCTTTGCGCTCGAGCCCCGGCGCTCACGAGGGGAGAGGGGGGGGGTCTCTCGCGTTGCTTGGCTGCAGCGTTTTCCAATCTCTAAAATTCCGTCTTCAAGAGTCCTGTATTGTCTCTATACAAGTCCTTCATAGGTTGTTCCATTGTATGTCGTTTGCAATTCCCTCGAAAACTTCCTTTAATTGCCATTATTATTCCTTCTATTCGAATCTTCCTTGTATTCATATCATTCCTCATTTCGTAATCTCCAAGATCCGCGGGTGAGAGGCGTGCAGGGGCCAAGAGAAGTGAAGGTTGGGAGGGAGTTGCGGGGAATTACAAATTGGACGGTGGACGTCCCGGCTAGCGACTCAATAGGGTAACTTTTAGAAACTCCCATAAGACACTACATGCTTGGAAGTACGCAAAGGCAAGCCTTGGTAGGCTTCCGGTCGTTGAACAACTCTGCGGTCTTGCGCCAGAAGCGTTCGGGCTCCGAGAAGAAGCCCTACAAAAGCATGCTGGGGCTGTGGTCAACTCGAAGGGTCATTGGTAGTTTGAAGTCCCTAGGTCCCTAAGTCTAGTTGTCTTTGTATTGTTATTGTCCTTCTACTTTCAACTACCCATGAACCTTCAGGTAAGCCTCCTCCATGGGAGTTGCCAGCATGCTTTAGGGCTTGTGAGGGTGCCACATACTCTGAAGGGATCATCGGAAAGCCGTTGTACATAGACTTTAGGAACATGCCCAAAACGTGTTGCTTGGGGCTGGGTTTTGAAAGTCAACTTAATTTTTTGTCATCCTGAATCAGCCTCCCTACAATAATCAAATACAAACATGCCATAGTACAGACAAAGCTATATTTTGGGAGATTTACGGTTAGGAAGCTGATAGGTCTTCATGCAAAGGAGGGGATCATTGCTCAAACAATCCCACATTTTGGAATGTCCAAGGCAAGCCTCGTACGAGAAGAGCTCACGCGTTGAGGCCTGCGACCACATGGCGCAGTTGATGTCTTCACAGGGGCGGAGCAATGCAAACTACGATGCATCAACCGGCAAAAAACCTGCTGGATCTCGGCCCTTCCACCCCAAACTTCCACGTAATAGAAACTCCTGTAGGGGGCAGTTCGGAAGTTAGGGCATGTTCTCCATGAGTTAAAGATGCGGTTAACGGCACGCAGGGCTGAGCTGTCCGAATTCCAGGTGCCTCTCGCTGTACGTCTTGCAATTACTGGAAGAGCTCGTGCCATGTGTAAGCAGTTTTGGTCTAGAACTTCCAACAGAACCCTGGTGGTCTTTCAATCCTTGCACCTACATACATCCTGCAAGAGAAGCTCGCCCCAACATGCTCAACGACCATGATCTGAATGCTGCTTTTTCAATCTTTCCTCAGCTTTATCTCCAATTGGTACTCCCCGTCGTCCCCTTGTAACTTTCGCATGATTCCAGGGTCCCTGAGGGTACCCATGTTGAGAAACACTCATGCTTGGCCTGTGCCCAGAGGCCTGATGCAGACCGAAAGTCGGGTATACCAGCCTGGAATCAGCCGCTTCTTCAAAAGCAGGGGTCCCTTTGCAAGCGTAAGGGATGCAAGGTTTGGACGCAAGCTTGAGTTGGGTCTGCTTAGTAGGCTAGTTTGCGTGGTAGACTAGTAGACCCCTGGGAGCCGTTAAAAAAGTAGATATATAAATCTTACGGAAAAACAAAGCTTCCGCCCGCGAGCTTCCGCGGACCTTCCGCGAACCCTCTGCGAAGTCTGCTGGCAGGTTTCCGCCGCGGTGCTTTGCTTCCGCAGGCTCTTCCGTGAACGTTTTCGTCTAAGGTGCTTCCGCGGCGCTTCCGCGAAAGGGATTTCTAGTCTTCGGTGTTCCCCGTCTAAAACTAGAAGAAAGCTTCCGCAGGCGAAGTGCTCCCGAGAAAGCTTCCGCGCGCCCAGTGGGAACCACTTTTCGGAAGTTGCCGCCGGAGGCTTTTCATTTTTTCCGTATCTCATGAACTTTCCCCTGCCGCCTATTTGTTTAACTGCTCCCCTGAAGTAAGTCCATGTCTCTGCCAAAGAGCATCATTCGCAGAAAGTCCAGTAGTGCGGTTTGAAGCTACGTGGCCCGAGGACAAAGTTCATATGTAATCCCCTTGGAAAATCAAGCCGTTGTCCTTTTGGGTTGGTCAGGGGCATGGTACACCTCTCCTTATCCTGCTTCCAGGCCCAACTGATTATTTGCAGGCCATGGGGACCCCACGCCTAAAGCCTACAGGCCACACAGCAGCTTCAGCAAATACAAGGGCATGCGCGTACACGGGGAACATGGGTTACTCACAAAAGGACACACCCGCCAAAAACTTCCTACACGGGTATTTCTCCAATGAAGCCTACAATCCTATAATCCTCCAAATGGACACCCTATAGCCCCCTTATAGCCTGTAAATATATATATATATACCTGGGGTTCCAGGTGCCCCCATCTTGATAACCTTTCCCTTTTCTTGAGCTAAGGCTCTGCTGTGGATGCGCCAGCACCGACCAATGCCACAATTTTCTTGGCTTTGCCGCCGGCGATGAGATGAGCTATCCTCAGACGTAGCACAGAATAGAAAAGAGAATGGACACCACTCTAATTTGGGGTTTGGAGCTGAGGGTTGCAACTACAACATGGAATCTGCAACAGTGTGTATGGGTGGTGGCCCGAACTTGGCTTCCAGTTTGCATCCTCACAACACTTGGTGCACTACAGGTTGGAACCGCAAGACTGCCAATGAAGCGCCAAACAACCCACATAACCCCTCACGGTGACGCCAGCTCGAAGCAGAGATAACCTAGGGCATGTACTGCGCAAATGTGCGCCGCAAAAAGCGATGCTAGGGAAGATTAAGTTTGCATTAGGGTACGGAATTCGCAAAATCATAACCAGGACCCTCCTAGTGCCCTTAGTGGGTTCAAGTTATATCGCCCCGAATAGTGGAGACTTACGTCTGAGTTGAGGGTAGTTGGAGGATCTAGGAAGACAGCGCTCAATGTGGTAACGAAGACTCCTGACTCGGTGGACGAACGAGGTTATGTAAATGGGTTTGGGATATTGTCTGCTGGCCATTGTAGGATATTTCGGGGCACAGGAATGACATGTGCAAGTCTGCGGTAAAGGATCCCAGACAGCGAGAAGTTGCCATCCAGCACTGCAGATCGCACCTGGTCGGACATGGTGGAGACGCTTCTCAGATTCCGTGCTTGAAGCCTCTAGACTCTCTTGCATATTCATCGCTTCATTGGTCGTGCTATACAGCACCCTTCCAAACAACTGAGTAAAGCGGGGGGTGTTCATCGAAGGGCCGGCGTGCTCGCTTGTACAGGTCCGGATGTGCAGGGTTTGAGCCAGAAATGTTTGATCATCCCCTAATGCTAATTTTTCCCGCAATCAATCTGCAAGCCGCCAAGGTGATCTGCTGTAGCGTCTTTTTTTTGCCTTGAGTGTTTCCGCCCCGAGGACCCTTGCAAACTTGGCGGTTCCCCCGGCTCGAATTGGAGGCTTCCAAAACCCAGGCTCGTTGGCAGTGGCATTGAATGACCACCAAGGATTCTTTCTTAAACCAGAAGAATTTGGGCTGCAAGGTTTTGGGCGATATTTGGCTTTTGCCCGCTCCACCCCCTTGCGCTCAGTCGCTCGTTGCTGGTGATTCGCGCCAACATTGGTGCCTGAAAAGCATAGTAAGTATCCGGTAGAGCTTTACTTGCTGTGAAAGTTAGCTGCATTTCTTCTGAGCTAAAGTTAGCTGCATTTCTTCTGAGCTGTTTTAAATCAACGTCTTCATGGATGGGCCAGGACGATTGCGGTGTCGCCTGCCAGGGTTTGAACAGTCCAGGAAAAGAATATACTTCAGTCAGCACCGAATGTATCGCCAAAGTTCTTTCCAGAGACATGGCAGCCTCACATGCGTGAAAAAGCCGCCTAAGGGCTGCTAGAAACAAGGTCATTTACACGCATATCATATCAGTTCCGCCATGCCCATTATTTCACACACTGCGATCTTGGTTCATGAATGACTGGTTTCTGGTGGGTGTGGGAAGCTAACCGCTAACCCCGTCAATCAAACTTTCCCCTGCATCCGCTGTGAACCTGAGCAGGACGTGGAATGGTGTGATGCAAGATTTGCTGTAGCTGGTTGGGCTCACATGAGCATCGTCACTGAGATGGGTTGCAGGGTACTAACTTTGTG